GAGGAGTCTGAGCACTTCACGTTTTAATCGCCTCACCTAGAATTACTTCAGCTCACGCTGTGCAGCTGGCACACTTACAAAGTTTATTCACACCGTGAGCTGCGTTCTTGGCATTTTCAAAGCCAGAGAGAGGGAGCGTCACAGCAATGACCTGTTCTGCTCCAAGTTTGAATTCTTGGATTTGAATCATAGTTCATAAGTAATGCTTATTCATCTCACACTGTGTCTGTTATTAAACAGATTTGTTCTGGTATTAAATTAGCTTTTAGCTCTTTGGTACCAAATAAAGACTCAAACCGTGAGTTTTGTGCTGTTGTTTTCCTAGTCCAGTTCACTTATGTAGAAAAGGATTCACTTTAACATGAGCTTAGCCTGAGATGGGGTCTGACCAGGATGAAACGAGGGCAGATCTGACAGATGTGGCTTTGTAAAAATGTTGAGCAAGCTTGAAAGCAGAGGCTCCAGAGAGCATGCTCATGTTAATCCTGATAATGAAAGCTGGTGATTAAGGTGACCCGTCTCTCTTTGACAGTTATTTCAGAGTAAACGTGTGGCTGTAAAATCTTAAATCTTCATCGATTGTGTTCTTATTGTGTTGCTGTGACCAGTTCTCTGCCTCATTTCATGCTTAAAGTGGATCTTTTGTTTTCCACTCCATAACAGACCAACCAGTGTTGAATTCCAGTTTACGAATATAAAAACAGACTTGATGCAGCTGCACACAAATGCATGTAATTGGTAGTTGCTCCTGACATCTTGTGGTGATCATTGGGTACTACAGCTGCTGTTGACCCGGTGTTCATACCACTGAAGCACAGGCTTTTATTGCATTGCAATATCTGTGTGTATCTTTTCCTCTCCCTCTCCAGGGCTTGTATATGACAGTCTGATGCTGAAACATCAGTGTGTGTGTGGGAACGCTCACATCCACCCAGAGCATGCTGGGAGAGTTCAGAGCATCTGGTCCAGACTGCAGGAGACGGGCCTGCTGGGCCGCTGTGAGGTACACACACATTCTTACGTTTCAGATAAGGCCTTCACACTGACGGCAGAG